ACACACACACACAAAAACAAAACCAAATCCTTCAATCTTAACGAGCACAGATCAAAAAGAAAATCGAGATCAAACACGCATGAACACACCCCAAAAAGTATGACCCAGAAAAAGAGGAATAAAAGGGATAAAAGGCCGATTTAGAGTGAGAAAATTGACCGAGAAGTAGAAGCTTCTGGGTTGTTTCGTTGGGATCCATGTTGCACTCCTTGAGCATAGCATAAATCTCATCTTCACTGTGATTCTGCCCAGTAATTTCCTTTATATTATTGATCATCTTCTTAACACCGTTTGGAATGGAAACCCTACTCGCAACTCCTTTAACTCCACTGCTCATCTTTTTTTCCTGCAATAACCCCAACGCCCCCCTCTGTATCTATATACACACACTGCGCGTATATATAAACAGTAACCGGGCCGATAAACAACAATACACACTAAAATGATAATGCAATAAGGAGTGTTATGCAGAAAAAAAAAAAGAGCTGGTCAGCCCGAGAGAGCGAGAATGAAGGGAGGAGGAGAAGGGCTGAAGGTTTTCTGTGTGTGATTTTGTGTTTTGGGGGAAAGAGAAGAAAATGGGTCTTCGGGAAGAGGGTTTTTGTAAGTCGATTGACGCAAAATTGAAAAACAAATTGCAAAATGCTAATGATGGTGTATGAATTCAACTAATTTTTATTTAATTTGTTTTTTAATTATAGTTAATTTTAAAAAAAAAAAATGTAGAATGGTTAGTTTTTAGTTGATATGTTAAAATAATAGTTAAATAAATTAATTAAAATTAATTTAATATAAACTATCATAAAAATGATTGGAAGTGATAGTTAGTTAAAATTATGTGAATTGATGAATAATAAATTAAAGTTGATGTGATGGGTGAATGATTGTTTTATATTATATAACTATATTGGAAATATTAGAAATAGTGAAGTTGGATTAAAGTTGAGTTAAACTTGAGTTTTAATTGTTTTTTTATTGTTGAAACTATATCCAATAGCCCCCTAATTTTCAGATATTATTATTATTATTATTATTATTATTATTATTATTATTATTATTAGTTTACAGCTTGTCCACTCTTCAATCCATTGTTTTGAAAGTTCTTATTTTTCAACAATATGAAAATTGTATATCATAGATTATGATTGTTGTATATGTCTGCTATATATTCTCAAGAGACCCATTAGATTACGACATAATTTGTGTTATTATCACCATAAAATTTCTGAGCAAAGCTCAAGGACAATGGTATATTCGGCATAACGTAATATATGTCGATCGCATGATCGCCTCCATTGTTGATCGCGGTGATTGTCAACAATACTCGTCGATTCCCTACAGAGAGTAAACATGCTCTACTATACTGAAACTAGTAAAACTATTAAATATGGTGATACCACCGTCTAGTAGGTCTTATCTCGTCGTCCAATACGGTCATTTCATGCATACCTGCAAAGATACGCCTCGTCCTCAAAAGATAAACTTTTGCATGGCTCTACGAGTCTTCCTCTTAGCCATCAGGGTGACCAAATAATCATCATATTTTACTTTTTGCTTCTATAAAGATGGCTCGACACCTCAATTAAGGACACTAACATAAAAAAACACACTAGCATGCACAAGCACGCGTTGCGGTCATCATTGTAACACTAAACAATTACTAGGCATTTCCCCCGTAGAATCTTTATCCTCGTCAATCTCTCTAGAGACCATGAAATCGTGTGTTGTTTCATTGCATAACCCCATATTAGCTAAACTACCATATCAAACATTTTTTCATACATCACTTATTAAGAAATGTTGACGATCGCTAGTCAACAACAATAACTATTAAAATAAAACGAAGGGTTCATGAGCTCGACTTAGCTCATTTCATAAACTAGCCGAGCTCCAGCTGGTTCAAAGCTCGTGTTGATAATAATCATAATTATTCTGCATCATTCTCTCCCAGTTGAGCATGATTCGTCCTCGAATCCAACCCGTTCCCGTTGGAGATGTCCCCATTGCAGGAATACCCCGACGTTTCCCCCGATCGAACACGAAGCTGAAAGTCGCCCAACAACACCGAAGGTAACATAATCTTGGGAAAGGACTGAACTGCTGCAGAGACACATGTACACACCCCATACGCATAATCCACACAACTGAATTAACACAAAACATGCCACATTTTTCGCCACGCTCAAATCCATAACTACAGCCAAGCATTCCGTTGTGGAGACTTCGCAACAGACAATTGAAAAATGACCCACCAGTTATTGAGCCCCAGCTTCGGCTCCAAAAAACCATCCATGACCAAGATACACCAAAATTTGGGTTCAGCCGACGGTTGCCTATACGAAGGTTCAACTTATGTGACGTTCTACGCGGGGCTTATATCGCCATAAATACATGACTCCGTCACCGGAGGCTCCTTATAGGAAATGGGCGGATCGTCGTACATTGGTTCGTCACCTTACTATCTGTCGAATACGGGGATATCAATGTAAAATGGGCCCTTCCAATATTCGAGACCAAGTTTCCAATCGCGTCGGGCAAGATATCCGGCAGCGAAGGTACCTTCTCGCGCCAGCCCCATTTGATGTGTTGATCATCGCCGTGCACGAAGATCGGGCCCCGTTGCCGCATGTCACGACCGTCGTATGCAGCGTAGGGGTCAGGCTCGATGTGCGGGGGTAGAAAATCGTCAAATGGATTCACCTAAGAGGTTATCTCCTCATCGTCGAACGGTGGTTGTGGAGATCTTTGGTGAGGTGCCCCGTCTGGACCATGGCCTCCACGTCCTCCGTGACTTCTCCCGCACATGCCCCAGTTGCCGGCGTCACGATACATTTTCTTCTCCAGAACTATGGTACAGATAGTTAGACGCATGTCCCTAATCTCTGTTGACAGATCTGTGATCTAACGACTTATTGTCTCGAGTCGGTGGCCAAACACTCGGTCCGGCGGCTCAGGTTGTAGATGGCAGCGACACGTCTGTCGTTTGCAACATCTTGTCTTCGTGACAACATCGTGAATCGTGCTGATTTCTGATACCAACTGATGTAGGGAAACATACGAATAGGAATGATATGAATAAGATCTCAATCTCAAACACGATAAAAACCAAATCAATCTTATTTTTATTTAATAATAAACCAAGGAAAATAAACTAGATGAAGTCCTTTATATAAGGCTCATAAACCTAACTTGATCGTCCAAAAAGCTACAAAATATTTAAATAATAGTGGTAGTAATAATAATAACTTTTATGCATCATTCTCCTTCAGTTCGAACTTCGAAAGGCTTCACCTCGAAGTCGCATCAAACGTGTCGACACCA